TCGGGTTGCGACCAGAGTCACGGAACGGATTAAATTCGTAACCCGAGGTACCACTGTATTACAAACACGTTACAAATATTTGCAACAGTGCCATCTTGATGACCTTCACATTTCACTTCCGATAAGGGAAGGGAGCCTTGCATAGATATATGTTATACTTTGGCAAGGCAATGTAAAATGCTTTACTTAAACTTACATGCCCATCTATATAGATTCATGCCCTCTTGAGTTTGTTAGTTTTTTGCATCTTAAGCTTAGCTGTGTTTCCAAGACTGCAGTCTACCATAAATGCAAAGCAAAAGTTCCATTGTTCACACCCCATTTATCAGTTTTGATCTGTGGACTCACTCAAGCTTTCCATAACACTTGATCATATTTTCTTATATTTAGTATTCACTTCATTTTTCTTCCTTTTATAATGGCACACCAGAAGAATGGGCAGTAAATCTTCACATTCTGCTTTTTCCAGAGACAAGAAAATAATATGGCACCTTTGCAAACCAACTGTTTTAGCAGGACCTCTCACAGACAGCCATTGTATTGTCAAACAGCTTGGAAGGAGCCAGAACAGGATTGCTGAACATAACATTCAGATTTTGGAGAATAAAGCTTTTGAATAAGTTGAAAAGAACAATGATGCAATACACAATCAAATGACAGACAATGTTGAGTTTTGGAGAGGCAGAATTTTAATTTTACCCACGTCCAGGAAAATGCAAGTAGATTTCTATCTGAATTGCTCTGTTCCACTTCTCTTTATTAAGCCTTCATGGCAAAATCAGAGGAACCTATTTAATAGTAAGGCATAAGAGGGTTATATAAAGGTATTTAGGATATATTCAAATGGGCATTGGGTAGTTATGTACCTACATACTAAGCTGAATATTTATTACATACAGTTCAGACAAACAATTCTGGAAACCAGATAACTCAAGGCTGTTTTTAAGAGTCTAACCAGTCATCATTGACAATTAGAAATTACTAGTAACAGATTAAAAGCAGTGACTCAGATCCCTGGCTTGCAATAATTTGCCGCCATATTCAACTCCATAAAGATCAAAATAACAACTACTGGATATGCTTGATTCAGTGCTGACTGAAATTTTTTGGATTATCTACCTCCTGCTTTCAGGCCAAAAAGCTTCCTGCTTTTGCTTGTGAGGCAGCCCTGCTGTTTCTGTCTTCCCGAAGAGCAAGACAAAGTATCTTAAGATTGCTTAAGAGCTTTTCTCTGTTTTCCATTTTTCCTTGGCTTGAGTCTGAGTCATAAAAGAAGGTGTGAAGTGAACTCTAATTAGCTGTTTGCATTTGCAACCCAGAATCAGTTTTGAAGACTGCTTTTGTCCCAAGTTGACTGGAAATGTTTAATTTCTAAGCTGCCTTTTTTGCTCAGAATAGATCCCAAAGGTGAATTACAAATAAAAATTAAGACATAATTAAAAACTTTAAAAAACATACACAGTAAAATTAAAAGCAGAGAGAAGAGAGAGAAAACAGGAGATTAGAGGTAATTCATTTCAAATAGCTGGAAGGCCAAATTGAGCAAACAAGATTTAATAGCCTGCTTTAAATGCAAGTAATGGTTGTGCAGGGAAAGACTTCACATAACTAGTTAGCATGCCAGTATTTTCCTTTTCATTGGCATTATCCAGATAAATATTTTCCCAATTAAGAACAGTCACTCACCACCAGCTATGGAATCAATAAAGTCTGCCAGGCTGTCCATAAGCAAGAGGAAATTTTCTGTTATGCTTCGAATAAGGAAAATACAGTGAGGGACCAGTTGAGAAAATGGTGTGTCTTCATTCTCTGTTGTCTGTTAAATCAAGAGAGTACATATCTGCGACTTCATTATGCAAAAGATCCAAATTACACATTTGCGTCGTATTATATCATTTCCATAACAATGTCTGTGGACCATCAACGTGGATAAGCAGGAATGGATACTGATCAATTGCTCTAATGAGCTGGGGTCATCTGGCCTGAATAGGGGTCAAGACAGGGGTACCTGTCTTGTTCCTTTTATTTCCCAGTTAGATTTTTTTTGCATTTCTATCACTCTTGAGCCTCCTCCCAGGCATTTTAACT